GGTGTGTTGCTTGCCAGGGACAAAATTTAAAGATATTGGAGAGGATCCCTAAACTCATCAAACCTACAGAGCATTACCCATCTGTGGTGGTCCGTATGGGAACTAACAACACGGTCGTGAACAACATCAAAAACATTAAGGCTGACTATGAAGCTCTTGGGAGGAAGCTGAAGGGACTGGGGGAGCACACCTCGTGTTCCCTTCAGTCCTTCCTGTCATAGGAAGGGGAATAGAACAGGAATAGACAATAATGGAGGGGAACCACTGACTGCGTTGGTGGGACTGACAGGAGCAATCTGGATTCTGGGACCACGGGCTAGGTTTTCTGGACAACAACCTGCTGGGGATTATTAGGAACATGCTTGACCTAACTGTGTAGCCCCAGTTCTAACAAAGAACGTGTTTGAGTATGTCTTCAACGCTTTGAAATAAATTTTGCTTTTCGTTAAAACGTGGATTTATTCTCGATGCTTGGGGATCCAACATATCATCAGCAAATGTAATTAGTTTTGCCCCTTCATCCAGATCATTGATAAAGATATTAAAAAGCAGCGGGCCCAAAACTGAGCCCTGTGGCACCCCACTGGACACCTCCCTCCAATCTGACGAAACGCCATTGACCACCAGTCTTTGGGTGCGGTCCTCTAACCAGTTCCCTATCCACCGAACTGTCCTATAGTCCAGTCCATAGTCTTCCAGTTTGCCCATCAGAATGTCATGGGGAACCTTATCAAAAACTTTACTGAAATCCAGGTAATTCACATCAAGAGAGTTCCCACGATCCAGTAAGCTCGTCACACAATCAAAGAAGGAAACCAGGTTGGTCTGACAAGATCCGTTGGGGACAAAACCATGCTGACTTCCCCGGATCACTAAGTGGTCCTTCAGATGCTTACAGATCGATCCCTTTAAAATCTGGGTTTGTTTGTCAGGAAGTACTGGAGGAGGAGGGTGACAGTCCAATGGAAAGTATCTGGGTGAGGATAAGGGAAGGAAGGACAAACAGTATTGTGGTTGGAGTCTGCTACAGACCTCCTGACCAGGATGAGGTGGATGCTGCCCTTCTTGAACAGCCTGACAGGATGTCCAAACAACATGACCTGGTAGTTAATGGGTGACTTCAACTTCTCTAATGTGTGCTGGGAGACAAAATCTGCAAGGCATCCACAGTCACGCAACTTCCTGGCCTGTCTGGATGACAACTCCCTTCATGAAATGGTGGCTCGGCCATAATCGACTTAATATTGACCAACAGAGAAGAGATGGGGTGAAGGTGGTGGGGACATTATGGAGACATGACCATGTCCTACTAGAATTGTTTTTGCTGTGGGAGACCAAGAAAGTTCATAACCACATGTGTAAGTTAGACTTCAGTAAGGCAGACTTTAATAAACTCAGAGATATGATGAGAATCATTCCATGGGCAAGACTGCTGGAAGGGAAAGGAGCAAGTGAAGGGTGGGCTCTCCTAAAACAAGAGCTCTTGCAAGCTCACTATTCCAATAAGGAGGAAACATGGTAGGGGATCCAAGAAGCCAATGTGGAGGAACAGAGAACTGCATGATGTGCTAAGGGAGAAAAAGGAAATATTCAAGAAATGGAGGCAAGGACAGACCTCTAAAGGAGAGTATCTGCGGGTTGTTAGGCACTGTAGGTCAGCCATCAGAGAGGCCAAAGCTCACAGTGAGTTAAAGCTGGCCAGGGAGGCTGGCTACAATAGGGAAGTCTTCTTCAGATATGTGAGGAGCAAACACAACATAAAAAGGTAATGGGGCCTCTGTTGGGTCAAAATGGAGAAACTCTGACAGAGGACAGAGAGAAAGCAGAAAGGCTCAATGCCTATATTGCCTCAGGCTCATCTAGAGATGGTAGTAGGCAAGTCACAGCATCTGGGCTGCTGGTTGACATGGACAGAGAGGTAGTTGAGACGCACCTGGCTGCATTGAATGAGTACAAATCCCCCGGGCCAGATGGTAGGCACCCAAGAGTGCTCAAAGAACTTCCTAGACAGCCTTTGTCCATGGAGCTGAATGGAATATTCTTATTATTTTATATTATTAATTTATAAATTCTTAGCTTAATTAATTTTTTTAATTTTATAGGTTCCATTTTGAGTGTTAGTATTAGGAGCAAGCCAATCTTGTCTCTTTAACTAGGTGCCCAAGCCTCCTATATGAAATCGAATCAGAAGTTCTATAAAATTAAAAAAATTAAATATTCAATTCAGCTCCATGGACAAAGGCTCTGCAAGCTTTTTCTTTTCTTTTAAAATACCATGGATTTTTTCTAGGATAAAGTGCAGAAAATAAAGAAGAAGTTAAGCATTGCATGGCAATTTAGTTTATGAATGCTCATGGGGAGATAGTAAAGGACCTTTCTAGGTGCCTGCTCCAGAGTGATCTCACCAAGCATCCTGGTGATCCTAGCACCTGAGAGCAGAAACACCACTGTGGTCTACAGACAGGTCCTTCAGTAGAGGGGGGTGGGGAAACGTATGTATGTCTCACTTCATCCTTTATACTACAATCTTCCTACAACAAATGTTACCTTTCAAACTTCACATCATCAGTATTATAACTGGATTTATGGAACTTAAATACCGTAGCGAAGCACGTGTATCAGGTTAATTTATACATATATTCCCTACCTGTTTAATAAAAACTTTATTCTGTTTTGAAAGTTAATCTGCCTCAAGTGCCATTTTCAAGTGTTTATAAAACTGGACAGCTTGTGTATTTTCAGTAGAGTTCTTGAGCTGAGAAAAAGCCTAAACTAAGTGTCCTGTGTCCCAGGGAAGATATTGGAGCAGATTTTAAAGGAATCAACCTGTGAGCATCTAAAGAACAACTTGGTGATCCGGGAAAACCAGCACGAATTTGTCCCCAACAGGTCCTGCCAGACCAACCTCACTTCCTTCTTTGATCGAGTGACGAGCTGACTGGATCGCGGGAATGTTGTTGATGTCGTTTACCTGGATTTCAGTAAAGCTTTTGACAGTAAAGCTTTCCCCATTATGTTCTGATGGGTAAACTAGAGGACTGTCAGGACTGGACTGTAGGATGGTTAGGTCGATAGGGAACTGGTTGGAGAACTGCACTCAGAGAGTAGTTGTCGATGGCATTTCATCTGAATGGAGAGAGGTGTCCAGTGGGGTGCCACAGGGCTCGGGTCTGGGCCCAGTCCTCTTTGATATTTTTTATAAATGATCTAGATGAGGGCGTGGAGGGGTTACTCATTAAATTTGCAGAAGAAAACAGATTGGGAGGAGCAGTAAACACACCAGAAGATAGAGACAGAATTCAACGAGATCTGAACATGCTGGAAAACGTGGCCAGATGTGAACAAGATGCAATTTAACAAGGATAAGTGCCAAGTTCTACATCTGGGTAACAAAAATGAGGAACACGCATACTGGATGGGGAATATACTTCTGGGAAGCAGTGTGTGTGTGAACAAGATCTTGGGGTAAGGGTGGACCGAAAGTTAAATATGAGCAGCCAGTGTGATGCAGCAACAAAAAAGGCTAATGCAGTCTTGGGGTGTGTCAACAGAAGCATAACATCCAAATCACAAGATGTCATAGTTCCGCTGTACACTGCATTGGTCAGGCTGCACCTGGACTACTGTGTGCCGTTCTGGAGCCCTGACTTCAAAAGGATGTGGACAGAATGGAGTGGGTGCAGAGGAGAGTGACAAGGATGATCAGGGGCCTGGAGACCAAGCCATACGAGGAAAGGCTGAGGGACATGGGAATGTTTAGTCTGGAGAAGAGGAGGTTGAGGGGGGACATGATTGCTCTCTTTATGTATTTGAAGGGCGGGAAGCTGTTCCTGTTGGCAGCAGAGGGTAGGACTCGCGGGAAGCTGTTCCTGTTGGCAGCAGAGGATAGGACTCGCAAGTTGTGCAACAATGGAATCAGCTGCCTCTGGAGGTGGTGAGCTCCCCCTCACTGGCAGTCTTTAAGCAGCAGCTGGACAAACACTTGTCAGGGATGCTCTAGGCTGATCCTACATTGAGCAGGGGGTTGGACATCTGTATGGCAACTTCCAACTCTGTGATTCTATGATTCTTAGTGGATAATTCCTAAAATGAACAGTTGGTGGCAGCATGCCAAAGAAGGAGCAAGAGAACAACCCCTCCAAGGGTCAGGCAACCCAGGAGAGTGATGTGTGTCGCCAGGCACCTAGATGCCTCAGAGGCCTGAACGGAGCAGCACTCACAAGTCAGTGGGTAGTTCTGGCACAGTACGTATAGGAAGAGAAGGATGGAGATAGTAACCCCAGCCACGCACTTATAATGGGAAGTATTAACAGCCAAGCATTTCTGTTCTCGCCCAACTGCAGCTGCCAAATACTTTTAAACAGGCAATCCTAAATACAGTGCATTGCTTTAATTTTATACTATAGCGAGAGAGGGAGCCACAAGGATTCACATTTCAGGATCTTCTTACTGCTCTCTTTTGGATGTGTGTCTGAGGAAGGGATTTCTGCCAATTCCCCCTTCCCACGACAACCTTCTGCGCCAAATCTCACACTTTTCCAGAGGGTCCCAAACCCTCAGGAGCACTTTGCAGGGGCACAGAAAGGTACAAAGGGAACAAGCAAAGAGACCTTATGCAAATCTGTTCTATGGATCCCATTCACGTAGTGTGCCTCCAAGCAGGCCATGCACAATGAACCATGCAGGTGCTTACCCCAGGGGTAACTCACATTTCTCCCTGGTGAGCAGATAAATAGCAAATTGAAAGTGTCACAGACCAAATCATCAAGACATCTCTGCAAGATCCCTACAGACCACCACACCTTTCATAGATCTGACAACTGCAAAAAACGTTTATCAATTCAACGATGAACCAGCCATTTGCCTGTGTAAGGTACAAAGGGACTCTCTTCCGGAGAAGAGACAATGCAGCCCTGTAAGGCTTCCTCCCAGCAGGGGCACAAAGGATGCACTTCCTGCCCCACACCCCCCAGTGTGTAGCCCTCCTGCCCAGCGCTTACCTGTATGCTTTGTCATGTGGTACTTCAGTTGATTCACCCACTTGCATTTGTAGCCACACTCCGGGCAAAGGTACTTTCTCTCTTCCTTGTGGATGCGCATGTGATACTGGACAGGAGGGAAGAAGAGCCAAGGTTGCAGGTGAGACCTTACAAGCACTTTTATCCGCTTTCCTTCCATATCATAAACTTGGACCCACTGTGGTATAGTCGGTAGAATACCAAACTGCATACCATGTTGGGGAGCCATGGATGGCTGATGTATAATTTAAGCTCAAGAGAAGGTGGAAGGGGGGCTACTTGGGACTGTGACAGTGGTGCTAGAGACGGACTTTCCCTCCCTGAAAGAAATCCACCTCTCCCTGAGCTGCTATCCAATCCACTGGGGGGGGGAGGAGCCTGTGTTGTGCCTGACTTTCCCCCCTACCGTTGTCTATTAACAGTCTGGAGGAGGGGATTTCTCTCAGGGAAACAGCACATCGGGAAGGTGTTAATCTTCTCCCGTGTCATAATGCTACAGCCCTGAACCAAGGTGCCCGTAGCTCTCCTCTGAGCTTAAATTACATGTTATCATGGGTCCCCTCCGTCATGTGTGCACCTGAGACGTGGGTTCAAATCCCCATGCAGTCATGAAGCCCCCTGGGTAGCCAGTCACTCCCTCTCAGCATAACTTGGTGCAAATTCAGAGGGTAAAAGTGGAGGAGGCACATAGGCAACCCTGAGTTCCACGGAATAACAGAAGACTTTTTTTTTAAAGGAATGCTTTTATTTGAAAAGTGACACACGGCTTTCCTCCCACAGTTTCCAAGGCAGTTTACGACATTGTTCTCCTCCCCCCCTTCATTTCATCCTCATATCGAGCCTCTGTAGGAGGTTAGTCTGCTGAGTGCATGTGCCTGGCCCAAGGTCACCCCAGCAAGTTCACGCGGCAGGGTGGAGATTCAAACCAGGGTCTCCCGGATCCTAGTCTCTAAGCTGTATAGTCTTGTGAGCAAAAATTCTACTTTGTGAGCTACTGGCATTAAAGTTGTGAGCGACTGACCTGGCTACTGCATAAATTAGTTTGCTCTGGAGCCCTCCTTCCTGAGCAAAGGCAAACATGTGTGAGCTGCAGACTACGAAACTGTGAGCTAGCTCACACTAACTCAGCTTAGAGGAAACAGTATATCATACTGGCTCTAAACATGGGGGGGGGGGCAGAAATCCGATCTCAGCCCTAGAGACAGTGTAGGCTAGATAGTTAAATGCAGCAACAGAAGCCCATTCATCCCACTGACGAGCAGTCGCATGACAGTTCTCTAGCAAGAGGTCTGGAAAAACATAGTAAAAATAGTGAGGCATTCAAGAATTCCCGTAGTGAGGTGAGACTTCTGCAGGGCTCCCAGGCACACCCTGATGTTTTTTTCCTAATAGTCTTATCCACTATATCTGCTTCCAATCAGACAGTGACACAATAGCTCAGGAGCCCAGCTTTTAAGATGCACCACTGGGGGAAGAGTAATGACTACGGTGCAAAGAAAAGTTAAGAAATTTCAGATAAAAAAAAATCAGAATCCTATGGTGGAGGTGGTCAGTCTATTTCCCTGTAAAAACTAAAAAAAAGATGGCAACAGGGATCTCATCATGACCTATCAGTAGAGGAACAATTTAAAAAAAGAAGCAGTTTATGTCAGATACAGGAAATCTGAACCAAAACTAATTACCTGGAAGTTAAAGCCACAGCCACTTTCAGATATTATTTTAACTGAATATTAAATTAAGAAGGCTTTACCAGGTGCATGCTGAAGGAGGAGGCGGATTATCTATCACCAAGAATGTTCAGATCACAGATGAAAGAATGACAATGTGAACTCGCAAAGTGGTATGAAAGTGATCATGGAGGAAAAGGAGATCACAAGGGCAGGTAGGCATTGTCTGTCACAGACAAGACAGCAGACTATATGGAAAAACGATATTTTGTCCAGACAATGTGATTGAGCCTTAATAGAAAGGGATTTCCATGAATTGGGTTAGAAATAGGGATGGGCACGAACTGGAAAAATGCAGCTCAGTTCATGGTGTGCCTGAACCATCACAGACTTTTAGGAGCTAAATGAACTGGTTCAGTTCATGAGGTTCATGACCCAGTAGAACAGATTCTACATATGCTAAAGTCACTAAACTTGCAAGGGATCTCCAGCTAACTCCCTTCTACTTTCCCTCCAAGTTTGGTAAACACTGGATTTACAGGATCCAAGTTACAGCCCCCCCAAGAAGGTGCCCCCAGGGAAGTGCTTTCTTGGGAAATGGCATTTTAATAGGCGCAGGTTCAGGATAGAGCATATAGAACACATCCTGTGCAAAGCCAGAGACATCAAAGTCGCAGGAGACCTCGCCCGGATGCTCTTCTAAATGCCGTCCAAGTTCTGCACTCCCTATTGCTTTGAAGTTCTGTAAACATTTAAACTGAGCAGAGACCGTCTGTCTGGAAATGTATCTGTTCATGAACGGGCACAAGCCTCTACAAACAGCTGGAAAGTTTGTGCTGGTTGACTTGCCATGAATTTCATTTTGCAAACCACGAACTGGCTAAAATTCATCATGAACCTTAGTTCATGAGCCAGTTTGTGCCCATCCCTAGTTAGAAACCAGGGAAGGTCGACCATGCTACACCATCTCACTGGTATAATTTTTAATAGGAATTTCCCCCCTTTAGACACTATGTACTTGACAGGTTCTTGGCCTGTGCTGTGTCAAGTTTCAGTTTCTGTGGAGACTTTCCAATATCCTTCTACAACCCACCAAAAAGCCCTAGGACGTTCTCACCTTGAGGCGTGAAGGGTCAGCGCAGGCATACTGACACAAGTGGCACTTGTAAGGCTTCTCCCCAGTGTGAATGCGGATGTGCCATGTGATCTTTTGTTTGTTCTTGGTGGTGTATTCACAGTCAGAGCACTTGTAAACACGGGTGCCGCCATGACCCTTCATGTGGTGGTCAAAGACCAGCTGGTGGTGACAGGCAAAGTCACAGAAGGAGCAGTTGAGCGGCCTTTTCTCAGCCACAGATGGTTCGTGGGCCTCCAAGTAGTGGTTCACTAGCTGCTGCCGCTCTTTGGCTGCAAAGCTACAGCAGTCACAGCGGTGGCTGAAGTGTAGTTTCTTATGGTCCTCCAGCTCTTCGCGGGTAGTCAGAGTCTCCTTACAGGTAGAGCACTGCAGGAGAGGGTGTTGCTTCTGGACGTGGCACTTGAGGGTTGCCTCACTGTGGCAAACAAAGGCACAGTGTGGACAACTGTAGGAGACTTTCTCCTCATGCTGCCGGAGAGCATGCTGCTTGAGAGCTGTTTCGGAACTGAAACGGGCTTCGCAACGTGTGCAGGCAAAGTTGAGCTCCCCTTGGTGGCAGCTGTTGACATGGCGAGTTATGTCATTCTGAATATAGCCACTGTAGTCACAGAGTGGGCAGAAGTGAGTGGGCTTCTTCTCATGGACACGTAAGTGGTGAATGCGCAGTTTGGAGTTGGTGCCGAAGGTCTGGCCACAAGTCGGGCAGGCAATGCGGCCTACTCCTGTGTGCAAGGACTGGTGGGCATCCAGGCGGTAGCGCCGCGTGGTGCTGAACTCACAGTAAGGGCACTTGTGAGGCTTCACACCTTCATGCTTGATGCGCATGTGCTGACGCAGACAGCGTGCTTGCTTGCAAGTGAAGTCACACTGGCGACAGGCCAGCTGGGGGCGTGTACTGTAGTACTTCTGGTGGAGCTTACGGTGGAGTCTTAGGGTTGCAGCAGCCTTGGAAGTGAAGGAGCACAGCGTACAGTGGAACTCGCCTGACTTCAAGCACCCCCGCTTCTTGTGAGTCTTCAGGGCACGCTCCTGGTGACACGTGAAAGGACAGGTAGGGCAAGAGAAGCACTGCCTCTTGTGCTGAGAGGCTGGAGGTGGAGATGTCGCTGCTGCTGACTCATCAGGCTGGCTCGTCTCCTCACCACCAGTCTGCCCGTTCCTGTGTTCCTCTCCTGCTTCCGGGGGGATGGTGCCGTTGGGATGGGCTTCAACATGCTCCGCTGACTGGTGGATCTTTAGGGCCCTCTTGGAGTGAAAAGGCTTAGAGCATATGGGGCACCAGAACTTCTCCAGGCCACGGCATCCATCCCGTACATGGGAACGGACGGTGGACACTCGTGAACAGAGGAACAAACAGGATTTACAGTGGAACTTGCCCTGCTCCAAGTAGTATTTTTCTGAATGAGAGGTGGCTGTCTCTGTGATGGCCTGTGACCATTTTTCTTCCACCGTAGTTGCAAGGACAGCCTGAGATGGCTGATCTAGCTGATCAACAGCCAAAGTCTGCTTGTCGGGACGCACAGTGGCCAGGCAGCCGGCATCATCAGGTCCTGCTTCCCCAGATCCCACTCGCAGCTTGCTCCCCTCTGCCTCATTCAAGGCTCCCGGACCGTCCTTTTTTGCCTCTGCCATTCCCGGACCCTTCTCTCTCGGCTCTCCAGCAACAGACTGATCCACACAGACTAATTTTCCACTGTTCTTTTTCATGAGGACTGGACATTTCTTAAGGATATGAGTATTTAATCCTCTTTGCTGCTTAAAGATGGCTCCACACTCTTGGCATACAAGAGGGCCCTTCCTGCCCTGGCAACCTGTTCTGCAGTGCACTAACATGGACTTCTCCTTCCTGGTGATGTAGGAGCACTTCTCACACTTGAACACTGGGCTTTCAGACTGGACCACCAGCATCTGGACCCTCCCTTCCAGCACCAAGGTTTCTGCTTGTTCTTTGTCCTGCCTCCTCAGAGCTTTAAGCAGCGATTCCGGTTGGGAAGCCTCTTCCGAATGGAGAAGAGCACCTTCTGCGGCTGGGTGAAAACTATGGCAGGCCCTGGGTTGGAGGGAGTCTGGCTTCAACATGTTTGACCAGGTCTCCTCTTCACTCAGCTCTTTGTATCCTAAGTCCTGCTCAGGATCGGGTGGCACTTGCAGGGGTTCAGAGTCCTGCCTGTCGTCTTCCTTTTCCCCTGGATCTTGCTGAGTGTCCTTCCCGCAGCTCTCACCAGCACCTTTCTCCTGCTCCAACTGTTCGTCCTCGTGGACTTCGGTTTCCTCCTCAAAGTCAGGTATGTCTTCAAGGGCAGGATCACTATCCTCCAATATGAGGGAGTCTCTGGAGCCTAACGTTTCATAGGCTGACTCCATTTCCCTGCAGTTCACAGCCCCTCGTTTCTCTGGCAGAGCTGTGGGCATCTCCTTCGCCAGCTGCGCCAGAGTCTGGTCTGAATTACAGAAGGGGCCCAAGCGCAGGGTGCCATCTTGACCCAGTGTGCTGCCCGCATTGCCTGCTTCCCTGGCGCTCACAGGAGATACTTCCTCGGAGAGTTCTCCTGGGGCAGCCGTGTCTGCCTTGTCACGGCCCTGCCCTCCAACAGCTTCTTCTGCCACTGCCTCACTGTTATTTCCATTCCCAAAGACCGGCATGATGAAAGACTGCTGATGCTGGTACTCCTCCTCAGTTCCTGGAAGAAGGGATTTTGCTTGGTCATGCCACGACTCTTTCGAATGCAGTGTCAGGGCAAGATTATAGCCAAGCACAACCTCCGTGGAGTTGACTTCTGTCTCCTTGCTGGCATAGCTCTCCTGCCAGCCCTTGTCACCTGGCACATACCCATGGACCTTGCGCTTGTGGAAGAAGAGGCTGGTGTTGCTGAAGGTGCAGTACGGGCAGAGGGCACAGCGGAACTCCCTCTGCTTGGTGTGCTTGCAGTTCTCGTGGTTGAGCAGGGCTTGCTTGTACTTGGTCTGGTAGCTGCAGTACTGGCACTGGAAGACAGGCATCTGGTAGTCCTGAGAGTGTTTTGCCTTCATGTGCTTCTGCAGCTCATACTTGCGCTTGCAGGCGAAGCCGCACACCTCGCAGATCAAGGACTTGCCCTGGTGGCGTAGCTTGTGGCTGCTCAGTTGGTCAGCCCGATGGCAGCGGTAGGGACACTGGTTACACTGGTACCTTGACACAAAGAGAAAAGTGGGTCAGGCTGCAGGGACTCAGGCTGAGCATGGGCATCAAGACATTTCGGTTTCCACATTCTTTTAGCAAGCTGGAGTAATCACTACCAATGTTCCCTCTAAGCTGTTGAGTCTTGTGTGCAAAACTTCTACTTTGTGCGCAACTGGCATTAAAGCTGTGAGCCAGCGATTTGGCTACTGCATAAATTAGTTTGCTCTGGAGCCGTCCTTCCTGAGCTAAGACAAAAATCTGTGAGCTGGAGGCTAGAAAACTGTGAGCTAGCTCACACTAACTCAGCTTAGAGGGAACACTGATCACCACAGCACAACAGCCCTGCTAAGAAGAGAAGAAGAGATTGGATTTATAACCCGCCCTTCACTACCCAAGGGAGTTTCAGAGCGGCTTATAAACTCCTTTCCCTTCCCTTCCCCACAACAGGCACCCTGTGGGGTAGGCGGGGCTGAGAGAGCACATGACAGAAACTGCTCTTTTCAAAAACAGCTCTTATCAGAGCTATGGCTTACCCAAGGTCATCCAGCCAGGTGCAAGTGGGGGAGTGGGGAATCAAACCCGGTTCTCCCAGATTAGAGTCCACACACTTAACCACGACACCAGACTGGCTCTCAGACTGCTAAACTGGTTATCATCCCCTTTCCACAGCTGTGAAACCGAAAAGAGAGAAAGTATTTCCTCAGACCACCCAACAGTTTAATGCCACGTTAAAATTGGAATTAGGGCTTCCCATGTTCAAATCCAGTGGCTGTCATTATCATGGAGGCTCCAGCACTGCTCAGTTCTATACAAAGGGCTGGGCAGGTGTCCTGAGCTTAGAGATAAATCCCAGAGATTTCTGTTCTAGATCAGGAGAAGAGTTTTATTTATTTATTTTTAAAGAAAACAGGCTTACTGAAACAAAACAAACAAAACATTTTGAAGTGTGTGGGAATGGCTAGAGAAAGCAACTTACACCTGCTGTTTCCCTAAAGTGCTACAAGTGTGCCCATCTGTTGAAATGGACTCTTTCCTGAGTTGGGGGAGGAAGCGGTAAAGAGTGACACGTACAGGACTTCCATGTATCTCAAAATTTGTCACTTGGTCAAGCTCTAAACAGATTAACACTGTCAAAAAGCGTATTGCCTTGACTATAATCTTTTTTGAATCACTTTACTTTTGTTTCCTTGTAGACACTACTTGCACTAACTGGAGACTCCCTGATGCATCTTCTTAGATTACATCAGCTCATCAGTCCCAAACATGTCAAGGAAATGCAAGTTGTCACAGCATCTAGTTTCCTCATCTTGAATCCAGACTCCCTTACTAATTCTGCTTTTTCTAGGCAGATGACTCTTTAAGACAAGTTCACGCATTCAGGCTGCCATCACTGTGTCAGAAAGCGGATTACGGCCTCTCAGGGGATCCCAGCCTGGAGTCTGATTCTGCAATATTACCATCCTAAGAGCCAGAGGTCTGTGAGAGATCTGAACAAGCAGCCTACATGGGAATCAGGACCTTGTGAAACTTACAAAGGCTATTATAGGCCTGTGATGTGCTATGACATGCAACCAATTGCCACTCTCCAAATAATTTTGGCGTTACATGCATCTACCCTGATGTTATTAGCATATCCACTACCACCACCAACTACCTCATGGGAACATGGGGCATTGAGGTGGCCCATTATAAGATCGATGGCCACTATAAGATCGAGTTACAGTATTTTGATGGAGTGGTACTGCCGATTCGGGCTTGAGTAACATCTACTGATCACCATCTTGACTTGACTGATTTGACTAAATGCTTAATATTAACATCACTGAGCACTTTAATTTTGATAAAATGGCTGGTTTTATGTGTTTTAATGTTTTATACTTGGTACACGTGCCCTTGTCTGTTAGCCGCCCTGAGCCCGTTTGCAGGGAGGGCGGGATAAAAATATAATAATAAAATAAAAATAAATAAATAAATATCCAAGTTATGAATTCAGCCTAGATCCATAAAAGTCAGTTAATCTAAACAAGGTCTCTTAGTCAACCTTTGATTTTGACATTAAACTTATGAGCACCTCTGATTTTGACCCACAGATATAGTTTGCCATTAAACTTATGAGCACCTCTGATTTTGACCCACAAATATATATATCAAGCCTATCCTGGATGGATATGATTTAGGAAGCAAACCTAGGGAGGGAAAGGGGGAGACTATCTGTACCTGAGATCTCCTGTGTGCTTGCGCATGTGAACATTCAGGTAGTGCTTCCATTTTGTCACATAGCCACATTCAGTGCACATGTAGTTCTTATCATCGGAATGGGTCAGCATATGTTTAGAAAGGTAGCTCACATCTCGGCAAGTGAAGTCACACAGCTCACATTTGTGAGGCTTCTCTCCTAAAGTCACAGAGCAAACCAGAAACTATGGGTGAATATTTCTACATGGCCATAATTAATATTTATGCCCTACTTGTATGGAACAGAACAAATTACTTCACCCTGTTGCACTTTTGAAAAGAGGCACCACTGCACACTTATGATAGCCAGAAAAATCTTAATTTCTCTATGGGAGCCTGACAACAGTATAATCAGAAGAATGCAATTTGGCAGTAAGAATACCTTCTTAAAAATTGATACATTTGCTTTTCTGAATACTCCCCGTTTCATCCAGTTATGCAATCCAAGCCCTTTGACAAGGGATAGGGTGGTACAAGAAATATCCACCTTCCTGGGAGAGTGTAAAAATTGGAGGTAGGACCTCCTAAGGAGGCCAGGAACACGTGCCAAGAGTCTTGAGTCCCAGGCACACAAACTAGTTCTGGTTGGTGGGAGAGGTGGGAGAGGTCCCATGCTACTTTCTTTCTTTCACTTTGGAGGAAAGGAATGGGAAAGACTTTGAACCACAGGAACCCTCTAAATTCTAATCTATTTGCAGACAGGCCAAATGTGGGCTACGGACTGGCAACTGACATTCTCTGCTCAGCACTACAGGCCAGCCTTCTAAAGCTTTACAGGAATGCCACACAGCACTACAGGAGACTTCCAAGTGCATACTCTCAAAGAAGAGCTCTAGTAATCACAGAGGAAGGAAACATGCCTGTATGGAGAAGCATGTGGCGGATGAGGACCCTCTTGTGTGCAGTGGCAAAGTTGCATTCAGTGCATTTGTGTATCTTCTCAGTAGCGTGCATCTTGCCAACGTGGTCATGGAATTCCACAGAGTTGAATGTGGCAAAGGGGCAGAAGCTGCACTGGAGCTCCTCGCTTCCCGGGTGGCCTTGCTTCTTATGTTTGCGGAACATATGCTTGTTGGAACAGATGAAGTCACACTGCTGGCAGTGGAAGGCGTAGTGCGTTTTGCGATGCATCTCCATAACCTCTGGAGATGGGAAGAGCAGGGAGCAGGCATAGTACTTGCACTCCACAGCTTTAATGTCATGCACCTCCCGGACATGCCGCAGGAACTCCTTGCGGTCCTCGGTGCAGTAGCTACAATCTGCCTGGAAGCAGCTCAGTTGCTTGTGTTCTGCTTTGTGAGTCTTCAGATGCTCTTTAAGGGCATGGCTGAGCTTGAACTTCTCCTCGCATACAGGGCAGGAGTAGACATCTGAGTAGAAGTTGGAAATGTCCTCGTGCATGCTGGCCATGTGCCTGTTAAGGGCATTCTTCTCAACAGAGCTGTAGTGGCAAAGCGGGCACCGATGAGCCTTCTCCCCAGTCTCACGCATCATGTGGATCTTCAGCTTGCTCTTGCTGGTGAAGAATTTCTGACAGTTTGGGCACTGCAGCCTGGGGTCCGGGAAATGCAGGTGGAGGTGTTCTACCAGGTGAGTCCGCTTCTTGAAGCACCGCTTGCACTCTGGACACATGTGGGTCTTGAATAAGTACTTGGAGTGCTCTGCCATTTCTCCTGCAATGACACAAACAAAACCACAAATGCAGCTGTGATGGGTTGCACAGAAAAACAAGCTTTTTAAAATGCTGCTTGTAACAGAGAGTCAGGAAGTTCAAGAGAGAGCTTATGTGATTGGCTGCTCTACTCACTCTCTGATTAGCCAGCATCAGCTGAGAGAGGAAATAAAACAGCTGATCTGGAGGGAAAAGTATTATTTCCACGTTTGGTCTTTATCCGAAATCTAACGTCTGGATCAGTAGCTAAAGAGTTTGGCTTCCGAGGGAAGAGACTTTGGGAGTCAGTGATTTCTGTCAGGGAACCGTCAGAAAAGTACTTCTATAGAGAGAAGAATAAGGACCCCATTGTCTTCAATGTATTAGAACTACTCTGAGGGAGAATTTAGATTCTCAGTCAAGAAAGCTACAGAATAGATTTATACAGACAATGGATACTGGAGAAGGATTTGGCAGAAGGTCTGGGTTGAGAGAACTCCCATACAAGGCAAATAGTAAAAGGAGTTATTGTTTCTTTGGGACAAGGAGAATAACTTCCTGCCAGTGAAAGGTGCTGGGAAGAGAACCATGGTTTGTGATAAAGGGGAGAAGCTTAGACACCTCAGAAGTTAATGAAAAACTGTAATATCTAAAGGGAAAAACCAGATCTCTGGAGGGAGAAACCTAGACACACTAAGACCAAGCTATTCCCTAAGAAACTGTATTCAAGATTCTGTGTAACAGCTGAAATATATAATAAGCAAAAACTTCTCACTGAAAAGAACTTGAAACTCAGAAATTAAGCTTCGACAGCACTCTCTTGTATGTTCAAAAGCCTTAATTCTGTATATATTAGAAAGTTTTAGCAACCTCTATACCTTGAAACCTCTTATGTATATATTCCCTGCCTGTCTAATAAAATCTTTATTCTGTTTTTGAAAGTTAATCCACCTCAAGTGCCATTTCACAGTGGTTTATAAAACAGGACAGCTCCTCACCTCAAGTTCCTGTACTGGGTCTAAAGCCTAAACAAATATTTGTGACAGGGTGGGACAATTCAAGCGTATCAAACAAAGAAGAAATACATGCTATTGGAGGGCGACTCAGCTACTGAGGGGAACTAAAATATTCTTGGTGGGAAAATTCTGCCTGGGTGTTTTTTAAAGAGTGTCAGGAGGGGAGGAACAGTGCCCCCTGCTGCCCCTCCCTCCCTTGGCCAAGGGAACGCCCGCCCACTCTGAGGAGTCCTGGGTGGCTGAAGGAGCACAACTGACAGCCACAGAGAGAAGTGGGGGCCAGAGCTGGGTTCGGATCCAGGGGTTGGGTGTCGCAGAGTCCCCCTCTTTTGACGCCAGCAGGAAGGGGGAAATCAAAGATGCTCCCGGGGAGGGCCTGGACTCCTGCCCTGTCAACCAGCCTGAGGCTCCCCAGTGGCCAAGGGAGGACACCTGGGAGGGTGTGGCCAACATCCTCAGTGACGCTGGCTAGACAGTGAGGAGGAGGGCTGGGCATGCACAAATGGGGATGAGGGGCAAGCCAATCCCTAGGCTACTCTCCTCTGATGAGCAAGAGGGAGGGGCAGGAGCAGGGCGGGAGATTCGAAAAGAGGAAAGGATGCCGGCTGAGGATTAGCCTCGCTCCTATGAATGATGAGAGGGGAGAGAGCGAAACAGAGAGAAGCCCATACCCTGACCCAGGGGTCATTTAGTAGAAAAAGAGGTGCAGCAGCTCATTAGCATAAATCATTAGCATAACTTATTTGCATATGCCACATCCCCTGACATCACCGGAAGTGTGTCAGAAGACAACACCCACCACTCAGGCTCCACTGGACTGTTTTGGATTGCTATCTATTGGGGGGGTGGGACGTGCAGATCTGTCCTCGCAGAGGAGGGAGAGCTTGTACTTGGATAAAACTTGGCCTTAAAGGTGCCACTGGACTGTTTTGGGCCGGGGGGGCTCTGCAAGTTACCTGGCTCCTTCTTGCTCTAATTGAGGGCTGCTGGGAGCAGGGGGTGGGGCTTGTTGCATGTGCCTGCCCCCTGGGCTCTTTACTGCCGGAGCTCTGCTCCTGTGCGCTCCTGCAGGAAATGACACCTGCCCTGACCACTCATGAACAGGAGTGGGGAGAAGAAAAGAGGACAAGTGAGGTAACCACCCCTGTGTTTTCAACATCTGAGGTGAGGCATCTGATCCTACTTGGAATCCAGGACCCTGGAGCCTGCCCCTCGCCTCCAACCCCTCCGTGAGTGAAGGAGACCGTAACAGGGGTCTGTCATAGCAGCATTTTGTTTACTTCATCTATCGCCCACCTTTCTTGCTGAGTATCAAGGCAGATTACATGTAGGAATGACCAAAGGAAGCTACCAAAATAAATATGCAACATATCTATTTTGCCTGGTTTTCTATCAGAATAATCAAGCAGTGCTCTGTACTTCAGAAAGCATGGAAATCAGAGGCCCAACCTATGTCAATGTCTTGTCACCCTGGACATTTAAAGATACTCTGACAGTATACCAGCACCCACTGGATAACAGGCACAGCATGAAGAGTAGTGTGCCCCCCTCTCCATAAAGACAGCAGAGCGGGGAACATTAGTAGCTGGTTTCTTAGCAAAGATGGAAGCGGTTATGTGAACTCTAGTCAAAGACAGACCAGTTCAGAAAGCTCTACTCCACCTTCAGAGCATGGTGTGAGCACACCATCCCATAACAATCAATTTTCCTGGCTACTTCTGGCAAACTCTTTTCAAATGCATGGCAGAAACCACTGCTGCCAAACCAGCCAAGATCTTTACCTTTGAACAGCTGGACCTGAGAGGCTTTTGTTGTCCTGGTATATGCTTTCTTGTTCCCCTGATTCATCTTGCATGAGATTCCCTCTCCTTCCTCCTCCTCTTCTCCTTCCTCCAGTGATTCATTCCCTCTCTTCCCAGGGTTGTCTTCCTCGGGCAATGCTGTGTGGTCTTCATGAAGCACATCACTGCTGTCAACATGTCCTCCCTGAACAGGATCCATTTCCATCACCTCCCAACCGTTCTGAGCTTCAAGAGAATCCCCTGATTTGCTCAGTAATTCTACATGTATTTAAAAGAAAAGAACCACAGAAATAGAAAATTTAGACAGAAAATGTGAGATGAACTGATGATGCAAGTAAATAACTGTATACTGAGTCCAAAGGAAGCTCTTCAATCAGACAAAAAAGGCAGAATAGGAACCAGAAAGAGTTAAAGCTGGACACGTACCAATTAGAAATGCGTTTGACAGAGACAGGGATTAAACACCAGGAACTACCAATAAAGCAAGGGGAAAATTAGTTTCAGAGGATGGCCGTGTTGGTCTGTAGTAGGACAGGTAGAGTAGAGTCCAGTAACGCCTTAGAGAACAACAAGATTTGCTGGGTATGAGCTTTTGAGAATCAAAACTCCATTCATGAACATAAGAGAACATCAGAGAAGCCCATGTTGGATCAGGCCAATGACCCATCCAGTCCAACACTCTGTCACACAGGGGCCAGAAACACCAGGGGCCATCAGGAGGTCCAGCAGTGGGGCCAGGACACCAGAAGCCCTCCCACTGCTGCCCCCCCCGGCACCAAGAATACAGTCCATCCCTTGCCCCAGACTGAGACTTCCTATCTAGACCTTGTGGCTAATAGCCACTGACGGACCTCTGCTCCATATGCTTATCTAATTCCCTTTTGAAGCCGTCCATGCTTCTAGCCGCCACCACTTCCTGTGGCAGTGAATTCCAAGTGTTAATCACTCTTTGGGTGAAGAAGTACTTCCTCTTATCCGTTCTAACCCGACTGCTCAGCAATTTCATGGAGTACCCACGAGTTCTTGCATTGTGAGAAAGGGAGAAAAGTACCTCTTTCTCTACCTGCTCTATCCCATGCATAAACTTGTAAACCTCGATCATGTCACCATTCAGCCATCATTTCTCCAAGCTAAAGAGCCCCAAGCGCTTTAACCTTTCCTCATAGGGAAAGTGTTCCAACCCTTTTATCATGCTAGTTTACCTTTTCTGCACTTTCATATCTGAGGAAGGGAGCTCTGACTCTCAAAAGCTTATACCCCAAAAATCTTGTTGGTCTCTAAGGTGCTATTGGACTTGAAACGATAGGGAGATTAATGTCTCTTGCAGTGTCCTTCTAGAATTGCTCTGTCTTAACAACTATTTTAAACACCATTTCTTTGCATATTGTTTACACCCTATCTACTCTCCGTGACTTAAAAAAAAAAGGAAACGAAAGGTTTCCCACTCTAACGGATTTGCCTGGGTTTCTCACAGCCAGGGGTCATTTCCTGCAGGAGTGCACAGGAGCAGAGCTCCGGCAGTGAAGAGCCCAGGGGGCGGGCACATGCAACAAGCCCCGCCGCCTGCTCCCAGCAGCCCCGGGCCACAAGGAGCAAGAGGCAGCCAGGTAAGTTGCAGAGCCCCCCTCCCCCCCATAGCAATCCAAAACAGTCCAGTGGCACCTTTAAGGCCAAGGTTTATTCAGGTACAAGCTCTCCCTCCTCTGTGAGGGCAGATCTAGAAGAGATTGGATTTATATCCCACCCTTCACTTGGAGTCTCAGAGTGGCTTACAAACTCCTTTCCCTTCCCCTCCCCACAACAGACACCCTGTGAGGTGGGTGGGGCTGAGAGAACTCTGACACAAACTGCTATTTCGGGAACAGCTATGCCAGAGCTTGTGTCTGACCCAAGGTCACATCAGCAGATGCAAGTGGAGGAGTGGGGAATCAAAACCCAGTTCTCCCAGATTAGAGTCCGCACACTTAACTACTACACCAAACTGGCTCTCTGGGGGCGTGGCATATGCAAATAAGTTATGCTAATGAGTTGTGCTAATGAGCTCCTGCACCTCTTTTTCTATGAAATGACCCCTGCTCACAGCTATGGTGCTTCTCTATGGTGCTTCTCTTCCTGTAGCTGCTGCCTTTAATGTTTTCCCCCCTCCATCAAGTCGCAGCCATCTTATGGCGGCCCCATAGGGTTTTCAAGGCAAGAGGTGGCTTGACATTTGCCTGCCTCCATGTCATGACCTGGACTTCCTTGATGGTCTCCCATCCAAACATCGACACGGGCCGACCTTGCTTAACTTCCGAGATCTGATAAGACTGGGCTAGCCTGGGCTATCCAGGCCAGAGATCTTTAACAGCAGCTGCCACAAAATGGGGCTACCAGATCTCAAAGCTGTAGGGCACTTGGCAACTGATGTAATGAGATAACACGTTTTGCTGTGTAAGAAAGGTGAGTGCTCTGACCAGACCTCTGTTTCACAAGCTGGGGCAGGTCATGTCAGCCTCAAGGATATTGGCACTCCCTTCTCAGCGGTCCCCTGCATTCACCCCAGTCATTCCCTTGGGCCCACAGCCTGTTCTGTCCAATACCTGAGTTGAAAAGCAGATGATCAGTCGGTCCCTTTCCCTCCACAGCAGTGAAGCTGTGCTCATTTCTCTCACCGACTTCGCTTGTGTCCAGCACTGTCTCCACCTCCTGCAGATGGCTGCGTCTGTGCTGCCCAAACTGCTTGGTGTTGGCGCTGATGAAGTCGCAATGCCCACAGTGAAATGGGAAGTGGCTCCTCCGGTGAAGTGCCATGTCCTCTTGACTTCGGAAGAAGAGTGGGCAGCCCCGGTAGGCACAAGCTACCGGAGAGACCTGGTGGGCGTGCTGCAGATGACCTCGGAGCTGTTTGCGGTCCTCCGAGCTGAAGTGACAACCTTCTTCTGGGCAAACCGGGGCACCCTGAGGTTTATGGTGATCCTTAAAATGTTCCTTCAGCTCACCAGGCAGTGCAAATTCAGCTTGGCAAATGGGACACAGGAGGGGCTCAGTGCATAGGTCAGGGTGCTGCTTGCTTCCTTCTGACAAGTTCTGTGCCAGTGCTTTGTGGACAGCTGGGTCTTCTCCAGACACAGCCAGGTCCTGGCTAGCAAGCCCTAGTGATAACCCCTGGAGCTGACGGAGGCTTGTGAGGCGTCCTCTGGAAAGCTCAACACACTGATGCTGGGAGAGCAGGCTGGGATCAGAAAAGTTCTGCCCACACCGCTGACAGAAATATAATTCCAGAACTTTGACCACAACTTCTGCAGGAATAAGAATGGGAGTTGTAAGACAGCTAAGTAATCAAAAAGCACCTGTCTCTCATCCCATGGTGGAGGCACAGCGTGAAGCATTACTAAGGCCCCGGTCACACGGGCCGGAAAATGCGGGGGGCCGGATCACACGACCCGCCGACGCCGACGCCCCGTGTTTTGGGTGGAGGGGCTGATCACACAACAATCCTGCGGCGCAGGAAAGAAGCGGCGCGGCGCGATCACAGCAGCAATGGCTAGGCACTGCTGCCATGGCAAACGGGGTTCTTTTTTAAAATCCAAAGTGTGCGCATTCCCCGTGGAGACTTGGGGGAAAAAACCTTTTTGCGACGGGACATGGGCGGGCGTCGGATGCCACGAACTACCACCGGAAACGTGATCAGACGCCCGCCCTTGCCCCGCAGTTTCCGGAAACTAGTACCTCGGAGGTACTACTTTTTTACGGTGCATCTTCGGTAGGAAGCCTCGGGTTAGCCATGGGAGCTCTACACTTCCCAGATGTTGCGGTGTGATTGCGCCTGGAAAATCCGCCTATCTTCCGTCTCTGTAGCGTGGCTAATGCTCCATGTGACCGCAGCCTAAGATAGCTTAGTAGTTCCTGGTGTGGTGTATACCTGGATGGAAGACCTTCTGGAAAGTCTACATACACCACCTTGAGCTCCTTTGATAAAAGGAAAGCTATAAATGGAGCAAATGAATGCATTCTTCTAGGTAATAAATGCTAACCAGGGCAGAAATGACTAAAACACTTATTACTGTTTAAGAGAGAATTCTTCTACCAGCCGGATACAGCAGTGGCCTGTAGCAAATATTGCATATGAGGTCCTACCATCTTCCTAGCACTGGGCGTTAGGCTCAAGTGGACTGGATGGTCAAACTCTACATGTAGCATATTGTCCAGGATCACACCCAAACACTAAAAAACCCTCCAGTTTTTTAAACATGCAAAACCAGTGGTAGTACTGATAATTACCTTCTAAAAATACCTCCAACTATTCACTTCCAGTGTACACTGCTCTTCCTTATCTTGCCTTCCGAAATTTCTTCACTGGCCCCACTGTTATGTGTAACTGCCACCTCCATGGGTCTGTGCATCTCCTTGTAACTCCCAGCTCCCCATCATGTAAGCCTCCTTCCTACAAGCCACTGCCTAAACATCCCTGTCACTCAGACTTCCTCCTCCACCAGCTTCATGTCCTACCTCTTCACTCCTAGGTGGCAAATTTGAAATCCTAGGTGTACTCCAATGCGCTGCATTCTGTTTTCTTATACTGTCTACACTTCTTGATGCCTGCACTGCTAATTTAAAGAACCAGAGGAAAAGGATGCTCAGGCATACAGTAAAAGCCATGGCAAGTCAGCTCCTTCATCCTAACAAAGACATCAACTTATGGCCCTGAAGATATTTTGGTGGTGTGCAATGTTCCCTCTAAGTCTTGCGAGCAAAAATTCTACTTTGTGAGCGACTGGCATTAAAGTTGTGAGCGAATGATTTGACTACTGCATAAATCAATTTGCTCTGGAGCCATCCTTCCTGAGCTAAGACAAAAATCTGTGAGCCAGAGGCTAAAAGACTGTGAGCTAGCTCACACTAAGTCAGCTTAGAGGGAACACTAGTAGTGTGTATGGAATACGGTAGGGGTGTAGTGGGCCATACTGCTGTCTCCAAAACACTCTAATCCTTCTGTCCAACAGCCCCTTTGTAATACTAATCACTGTAGCAAAGGCTTGTGGGAGGGTAGCTGTCACAAATTTACTCATACTAGGCCCTCCTACTATTCCAAGTCCATTGCATACTTTGAGAGGAAAATCCTGCACTGTTCATTCAGATACGCATCTCTTGTAGCTTCCCTGCCACAGCTCACTGCTGCATTAAGAAGCTCTAGTCACAGTCATGGTTATTCTGGCCACTAGATTGGCAGCTGGTAATCATGTGATCTTTGTAGCCAATCCACCTGGCTCTACAAGTTCAGCCTCCATGCCCTCTTTTCCTACAGCAAACATGAGAGGTTGATTGACGTCCCTACTTCCAACAGACACAGAAGTACCAGCCTGCATTTTCTGTTCCTGCTCCATAGCACACCAAAGGTTAAGAACATAAGAACATATTAGAAGCCAATGTTGGACCAGGCCAATGGCCCATCCAGTCCAACACTGTCACACTAGAGATGTAAAATTTCCGGAAATTTTGAAGCTTGGAAAAAAACCCGTTTGTTTTTGGGGTTTTTTAACGGAAATTTTCGGAAAAATTGAAAAAAATTCTACATTAGCACTTATTTTATCTTTTCCAGATTGAAAGTCATTCTGTTACTTTAGGAACATAAAATATAATTACGGACATTTTTACTTGGCATAAAATTATCAAAACTAGCATATTAAAAATATAGTGTATCCAAACAATTATTACAAACAGAATACCCACCCACATGCAAAAACAAAACTGAAACCTTTTTCTTTTCTTGTGACAATAGCACCTCCTAAAGGAAGAAATGCATTTTGTTCTTGCACTGGAGAGTTCAGTTTGTAACCTAGGACTTGCTTGTCCTCCGTGCACAGAAATTAGATCAATCTGATACCATATATATTTTTTAGACATGATTTGGAAAATATTTGAACACCTTGTCCTAAAATATTTTAATCATCATGTTAAAATAAAACGTTCCATAATCATTTTTTTTCTTTTTTCAATTTTTCCAAAAAAACCCAAAAAAGGCTTCAGGAAAAAAATGGGGGAGGGGGGGGGAGAAC